ACCGAGAGGTCACGGGTTCAAGTCTTGAGAGCGGCCTCTCATTAAAATGACAAGGGAAAACCTGCTCATTATATACCCTTGTGGTGGGACCCTTATAATAGGAATAAGCAAATAAAATGAGTTTGAAGTTTTGACACTTATTTAATAGAAACATATTTTCTTTCCTTCAAATTTCATGCCCTACAATTGGTATGACTAAGCTCCCTCTTTGACTAGAAAATTTAACCTCCCTTCACAAGGTATGAAAAATAAATTTTTTGTTTATTGATTTTTTCAGTGATAAAAACGCTCAGATGAAGCAATTTAAGAACATCCAAACATGAAAAATGAGAATAGGGAAAAAAAACTCACTGGAAATGTAGGCTGATGAATATCATTTTCAAAAACAGTATCAAGATCATGGGTCAAACGGTGCTCGGGTGTATCATAGCGACCATCACAGAGATCAAGACCGCCCAAGAAAGCTGTAAGTTTCCTGTTACCACCAGCATGTGTATCCACAATCACACACTTCTGGTGGTGCGTGAACATGGTTCCAACAATCTGGAAGCAATAGCCATTACAAATCACAAAGCACATTTATTAAAATGTCAAGTTGGGTAAAGCAAAGATTCATTATTTTTTGGCTTGAACTGTCTGCGTTTCTTTGTTATGAAGCAGCAGTCAGTCCATGCAATTTTGGACCCGATTTTCACTATGGGTCATCCGGAAACAGTCTCTCTGTGCTTTAGTACAAGGGTAAGGCTGCTTACATCCGACCCCCCCTTACCCCACCGTAGGTGGGAGCCTTTGCGGCACTGGGGTAAATGAAAATGAAAAAAAATGTCAAGTTGGGTAAAAATACAGAATTGATAGAATCATATTTTGGGATCCACTAAACTAAATACTAGAGTTCCCCATCAAGCACCTAATGATACTGGACATCAATTCTTTAAAATGTCACTATCTTTGCTCCATCCTCAGTCATTGACATGAGCTAGTGATGCCCAAAAAGGATTTGTTACAAGACAAAAATTTTAAAAATAAATAAACAATGGAATCTCTATGACTATATCAGATGTAGAAAGCTGTACAAACAAAGTAATACATACACAGTACACTGGTAAACTATTGAAGAACTTACTTGCTGCTTAATAAAGCTAAGCTTGTTACTGGCATACCGAGGCGACAGAACGCAGGTCACAGATGAGTTTTTGAAGAACTTCCTGGTGTCCTCATCATGGGTTCCCATCACCCCTTCCTGTACCAAATCCCAACTTGAGAGTTTATTGGATGCAAAAATTGAAAATTAAAATAAACTCTAGAAAGATAAGTCTTATGGCGTGGATCACTCCATCAACCCCCCTGTACCAAGATAAATCTTCATTTTTATCATTTAGTTTTTTAATTCAGTTTGAGTTTCAACACATATCGGATAACATGCACACCCACTTAGGCAATAAACACAATAACACCACATATGGTTAATAAAGAAAATCAGAAAGCAAAGATATGGAAGTTTTAATTGTTTCTAGTATTGTTTCTTCATGTAAAGTGATGAATTTAGCCACAAACTGATAGAGCAGGGGTAGCGACGTGTCAAATATAAATGGCTTAGTACATTTTTATCATATTACTGGTGCTACATAGAATTTTAACCTCAAACCTCTAGTGGGAGATCACCTAAGTGATGTACTTTATATTTTGTCTTCTTTACCATTAACAGTAACTCATGAAACAAGGCTTTGGATTCGGATGAAACCTTCATTGATGTCACAAAAGAATGCTTAGTCAGGAACACTTGAATGCTATACACTATGGTAATATGATCTCACACAAAAAGATTGCACTAAGAAAAACCACATATTCTTGAAATGACAATGGCTCTTCCTATGTACAGAAGGCAATTAAACCTTTCAAGACATCATTACACATATCAGTGAACAGCTCTATAACACACAGTAAGAAAAACAAAATCCATACCGTTTTGATGAAGAGCTTGTTGTGTGAAGTCTTGTCGTCCCAAACTAATAACAGAACCCTGACACCTTCCTGGGACTTGTACTTGAGCAATTCACCAAGAGTCAAGTCGCCTCCGGCGGGTAACTCCCTTGTAGGCTCTCTTATCAATTTAATCTTGTGGTAAACAGACCATCCGACAATGTATACCAGATGATGAGCCTCAGAAATGGCATGACAAATGTCTTCCCAACAAGTACCCCGCTCATAAACTATCCCGCTTTCCAATCTAATATCTGGCTGTTTTAGATCATTATCCCTAACATGAGCGTCTTGATATAGCTTCACTGAGCATCCTTTTCTCAAAGGGAAATAAGTGTGGCTCACACCCAAGTGTTGAGGATCATCTTTAACTCCACTCTTGTAAAGGGGATTGGATTCAAACGGGGTGAATTTCAACCCAATACGGAGAGCTGCTTCGTGTTTGGGAGTCTTTCTTGTGGCACAATTCAATGGATACCAACCGATGATTGTATTGCCTGTGGCGATATCCTTGGCCGGAATTTCCACAATACCTATAATTTGAGCTCCGAATAAGTCGTCGTCCTTGACCCGAAACTCCAAAAACCGCATTGGATGAGCGAGTGGAATGTGAAAATGCTCATTCCACTCCGGATTCTGCGAATCGGGAATGATCCGAGTACGTGCAAGTGCGGTTTGGGGCGCCGAGACAGTAACATACGGATCAGTATTTATAACTCCGCGGCGGTGAGTTTTCTCACTCGCCGGTGCCGGTATTTCTCCACCGACGTTGTCGGTGTCGGAGTCCGGGTTGCGAGAAGTACCACAGGAAAAGCAGAGGCGGAGGCGTTCGGCGGCGAAGTCCATGTTGGGCAACCCACGCGCCTCAAAGACGTCTAGCTCTAAATCCCCATGTAAATACATCAGCTCCTCCACAGAGTTCGCCGCCATTTTCAACTACTCCTTCGAGAACCGTTACCCTTCAGGCTTCAACCGCCAACCGTCCAAAGAAAGCAAGTCTCCCCTGTGAAATTTTAGAATGTGGGATTCGAGGGGCATTGTTATTGTGTTCTGAAAATATTTCAGTTCTATTTGGAGGGAAAGGGGGGCATATTTCATGTTCGAAGGTTGGATGAGAAGAAAGCCGCAAATCAACCGGCAGAAGAAACCAGAGCCTTGCGAAACGAAGTAAACCGAAAGAGAAGTTAGTGTTACCGTAGCATCAAATAAATGCATCCGTATTAATGTAGTTAGGTTTATAAATTCAAAACTAAACTGCCACCTTCAAGGGGGTTAGAGTAAGAGTTTTTTTGTGGTTTTATTAATTCAGTTTTTAGCGTTTTTAAAATGGTGAAATTAAGAATCGAATAGTACAACTCGAGTGGATTTTGATCAGTTTGATTGGATTAATTTCAATTGATTTGTATTTATTTTGTCACTTTTAAGATACTTTGATTGATTTTTTTCGGTGCAGTTAGTTTTTAAACGCAAAAGCATAAATAGTAAACTGAATTGTTGAGGGTTTGGTTCAGTTTTAATCGATTGCGATTTTCTTCTGATTCGGTTTTGGTCAGTTTGTTATCAATAAATGAATGAGCACATATAGTGGTGAGTTCGGTTCAAATGATTCGTTTTTCACCTAAAATCAAATTACGATCAAAATAGAAAGTTAGGTTTGGTTCATCTTGATTTTATCTTTTAAGCCAGGATTCCTAAGGGCTGACATCATCAGTCTGTTTCAGGACTGACATCATCCAAACATTAGCATGACATTAGCTAGTGTGTTCTCCAAATATTTTGGTTACACATGGCTCCCTCACTAACTTAGCATTTTGGGCTTATAGATCGAATATTGTATTTTGTCATAAATAACGAGCTCCCCCCTTTTGGGAAAACGACAAAAATTATGGTGTTTGTAATTCAGTCAAATTTATTACATAACTTTCTCACTTTAGTTTTGTTCCAATTTCTCTAGAATTCTACTACCTACAGGTTTTAATACCCATCAAGTATATATTTGATAACAATCAAAAGTAATTAATTGTATAACAATAAAACATCATTGTCATGCAAATACAAGTAGAAAAGTAATTACCGTTTATAATATCAGTATATTAGTATTATAGCAAGAGATTAAAGTTATATACAAATGTTTTACTTAATTAAAACATAAATATCAAGATCTTAAAAATCATAATAAATATCAAACATTAATTTTCTAGAATTAGACAAAATAGAGAAAAGTGTAAAATTGGGTCATTGTATTCTGTAAGGAAAGTCAATTCAATCTGTACTTTAAGTTTCATCAATTACGTTTTTTATACGTAGTATATAGTTTTCATCAAAACTGACTTTAAGCAAGAGGTCCATCAAAATAGATACAAAAAAAAAATGAAAACTTTAATAAATTTCAAATACAACCCAAGAATATATGACATGAGTATCACCGAGTATCTGATATGAGATTGTTTCTTATACGCGACTATGAGGATACGATACCCTAGACAAGTATTGGTGTTGCGTAGTGTATAACTACTCAATATGTACTACTTCTCTCTCTGAAATTTGTCAAATTTGACTAGCATGTGAATAATAAAATAAAAATTGTATGATTAATATTTGTATAGAAGAGAAGATACAAAACTAATAAAAATAATGAACTAAGTGATTAATTGAAAAGTAAAATGACAATTTTTGGCACAATTAAAAGGTAAATATGAGAGCATATCAAATGCTACAATGTGCACGATGTACATGTGGCATGAGAAAGATAGACACAAAAATTTGATTTCATGACGTTTCTCTCTCATTCTTTTCACAGTCTTATGTGTTTTTGGTAAATTTTTCTCTACAATGTCAATCACAATGTCTACATCTAGACATTGTGCTTGACATTATGAAGAAAAACCTATCAAAATAATGTAGAATCCTTCAAATAAAGAGAAAGATATTCTATTTATTGTTTTAGCTCTCACAATGTTACAATTGTATGTTTTGTAAATTTAGCTGTAGAGTCATCGATGTCCCTTGTAAATTACGACGAATGTTCAATGCTTCGCGAAAACACGGCTTCCGAGTTCGGAGTTCACGGTTGACCCGAAACCTACATTCTCTCTCCTCTTTTCTGCATAATAAAACCCCAAATTGGCGCCCCCTAATCAACCCTCGCCGCCGACCATGGCGTCCATCTACTGCTGCAAAGAGTGCGAAACCAATCTCAACCTCCACACCGCTCAGCTCTTCCCACCGGACTTCTACTTCGAGGCCGGAAACAAAGGCACCCTCTCCTTCTCCGCCGTCGATCCGTCCAAATTCAGCTTCGAGAAGGAAGACAAGATCAAACCCTTCTTCGAGACACTGGACTACTGGGGCATCCAGAGGAAGCGGACCAAGATCAAGTGCGTTAGCTGCGGGATGCTCGTCGGCCATGTCTACGACGACGGCCCGCCCATGACTGACAGCCCGGGTCAGTTTCATTTCGGGCCGAGCCAGGTCATTCCCAGAGCTCCTAGGTATAGGATCAAGAACAAGGCTTTGAGAATTACTTCCGAGACTTGAAACCTGTTTCGATTTTGGATGGTTTGACTTCTCAAATAAGTGAATGTGTCCTGTTTATTCCTTTTAAAGGAAAACTTGTCATAAAAAAATTCAGAAGTACCAAACAGGGTCTTAATCTCTGGTTTAAAATGTTTTTTTGCTGTAAAATAGATGGTAGTGATAGAGTATATCTAGAGAGAAGTGAGAGCTAGAGAGAGAAGTGCAATAATATGCTTCAATAGAATGAATTTGTCACCTCCTATAACTACTCCCAAGGGGAGTATTTATAGAGAAAATTAGGGTTGGGCTCCCAAGCCTTGGGCTTGGGAGGCCCATTTACAACTGGACCGCTACTGGGCCGAATACAAAGCCACTAATGGGCTGTACAAGTGAGTAAGTGTAGGATCCGATTCTGGGAGGTCCTCGTGGCCGACGAGGTCGTGGCCGACGAGGGCACGGCCGATGGGGGCACCCGGGTTCCTTGGACTCGGGATCATAATCCGGGTTGGCTTCCTCTCGGCCGACGGGGGCGTCTTGGCCGACGAGGGCGTTTGGCCGACGAGGGCGCCACTCTGTCTTGTGCTCTGTTCTTCCGAGTATGTGGGTCCTGGGGCTCAGACCCATATACTCCATCAGGAGTCCCCCACTCTCTAAGCTGAGACGTAGACGAAGTGAAGGAGAGTAGGTTTCTGTGCTTTGTTGCTTTTGGCCGACGCGGGCATTTCCAGGCCGTTAGCCGTTGTGGCGTTGGCGTTGTTTCCTCTCTGGTGATCCTATTCTGTGCTTTGGCCGTTACCTGTTCCTTGCTGTGGGCGGGGGAGGCCGTCATTTCCTTAATGTGTTTTGGGACGATGAGTGTCCTTCCTTCAATGGTGGCCGTTGAGGGCGCGCTTTCCCTTTCCTGGCCGTTGGTGTTTGAAGTTTACGTTTGGGCCGGTGAGGCCGTTGAGGTTGTTCCTTTGTGTTTTTGGCCGAAGAGCCCGTCAAGATTAATTGTTGGCGGAGGACGATGAGTGTCCTTGCCTCTAGTGGCTTGTTGGCCGTTGCTAGTGACGTTATGGGCCTTTGGCCGATGAGGTTCTGTTGTGCTGTATGGATGATGTGGCCATGTTTTGTGGTTACCTTGTTTATACCTTTGTTTCGTTGAGGCCGGTGTAGTCCCCCAGTCCCCCACTGCTTCAGGCCGAAGAGAGTGAGGGGTGAAGGAGTTGCCTGAGTCCTTGGCCGAAGCGGTCTCGCCGTAGTCCCCCTGAATCCAACTCTCATGGCGATTTTCTGGCCAAGGTAACCCTGTGGGAGAACCCTTGTGCGCAGATCGCTTGTAGAGAGTTATCATCAAGGGTTATTACGAGGAGCCGAAGGCTGTGGGCTATTTGTTCCCTTTGTTCTGTGGCCATTACGTACCTGGCCGTTGCCATCCTCTTATTGTTTGGCATTTGTGATATTGGTGAGCAAATGGGACGTTGAGGGCGCTTGCTGGCAGTTGTAAAGCCGTTGAGCGTGTGTAGGCCGTAGAGTCTGATTTGCCAGTGGGCCGTTGATATGGGTTGGTCCTGGCCCGTTGGTGACGTGGTGGCCCCCCAGTGGTGGCCGTTGATGCGGCCATTTGGTGAGTGCCACGTGTAGTGACCGTTGGTGGTGGGGTCTATAAATACCCCTTCCCCTCCGACGAAGAATCACATTTGCATTCTGAATTTGTCGAAGTGCTGGCCGATTTTCTAGAGAGAGAAACTCCCAAGCCTGTTCTTCGTGTTCTTCATTGTTTGAGGTTAGTGTTCATCACGATCTTCCTCACTTTTCATATTTTGCTCCGTAAGTAGTTGATCTAGTGTTAGGCATCTAAACACCCTTAGATCGTAAGTTCTCCTTAAGCCCGTAGTAGTAATGAAGAGTTTGAACGAGGACTACTACCCCTACGACGACCAGCCCTCCACGAGGTCCCTTGACTACGAGGTGCTCGAGGAGTTTGAAGAGGAGATAGAGCGTTTGAGCCCCTACAAATCCGTAGAGCTAATGGACGAGGAGATCGAGGACGAGGAGTCCGCCTCCTCTTCAGAGGGTGAGGACGTAGGTGCGTCCCGAGCGGTGGACGGGGCGTCCACCTCTGCTGCCGTTCCGTGCCCGAAGCCGGTATCTGCCGTGAAGGGCGCATCGAAGCCGAAGAGAGTGAGGAGGCCGAAGAATGGGCCGGGTCTCTCCTACTTGGACCTTACCAACATATTCCTGATTAAGCCGGAGAGCAGTGAGGCCGACTATCTTGTCGCCCAGATGTACGTGGGGCCGTTCGGGCGGGTTAGGGCACCCAGGCCGACGGACCATGTTCTACTTCCGCCACCGGGATACTTCGGAGTATACCCGATGAGTTTTGCTAAGGGGCTGAGGTTCCCCCTTCACCCCTTCGTCACCGAGTATCTGGACATGGTGGGGCTTCCTCCGGCCCTGCTGACGCCGAACAGTTATTCCTTGATAGTGGGCTTCTTGCTTCGGTGTGAGGAGTTGGGCTACAGGCCGACCACGGCCTTATTCATGAACTTGTACCAGATCGGCCGAGGAAGCCACAAGAACTGTGCGGCCTATGCCACTCTTCAACAGCTGCCGAGGAAGAGGAGCTTCACGGATTTGCCTACGTCCATTCATGGGTGGAAGAGCAAGTTCGTGTTTGTGTCCATTGGTGAGAGTGGCACCGAGTTCCCCTCCCTCGGCCACACCGGGAGGTTCAACCTTCATGACCCGCCGAAGAGCTCTATTCTGGATGCTCAGGTGGAGGCTTTCCTGGAAGGGGGGCCGAGGAGCGTGAAAGATTACGTCACTGAATACAAGATGACGGCCCTCGGCTTCTTCAGATATCACTTGTATGGAGATAAGGAGGATGACCTCCAACTTTGGCCGAGGATGACCACCAACTTTGAGGAGGCCGATGGCCCGCCTTTGGGCATTCCCGCTGAGGCCGATGGTAATTCTTCTTCGGCTTTGTGTCTTTACGTTTTGTCCTTTGCCTTACTAATCTGTTTGTGCTTTTCCCTTGTAGATTTTGTCATGGACCGCCGTTCTATGATGGCGATTGCGAAGGCCAAAGCGGCCGAGGAGATTGCTGCCAAGGCGGCCGAAGCGGCCAGGCGTGCCGCGGCCGGTGTGGGCGGGGCTAATGCAGATGCGGCCCCAAAGCCTGCCCCGTCCAAGAAAAAGAGACCGGCCACTGACGGCCAGAAGAAGTTGACCGAGGCCGGCGTGAGCGTCTCTAAGAAGACGAAGAGGGCTCCTTCCCCTTCTCCTGCCAGTGAGGCCGGTACGCTTACCGTCCCCAGCGTGGGCGATGGTGGTCCCGTCGTGGACCTTACTGTTGCTGATGGTGCCGCCCCAGCGCTTCCTCTCGTCCAGGAACCACGGACGCAGAGGGCCGGCAAAGAGGTTGCCGGTGCTACCTATCAGAAAGTGATAGAGTACCCCGTCGGCGGGGGCGTGTTCAATGAGCTCGTCCCCGGCCATGTCGTCCTGGCCAAGGCCATGCCGGCCAAAGATCGGACTCATCTGAAGAAGCTCGAGGAGCCGAAGATCTATGAGGGTGGCATGGATCTCCTCGTCCAAGTAAGTGATTGTCCTTATATCCTTGTCTTTCTTCGGCTATGTAGAGTTTTTGCCTGACCTTAGTTTTTCTTCTGCAGAGTGCCTTCATGCTTATGGAAAGCCATAAGAGGCAGTACTGGGAGATTGCCCGCCTGCAAGCACTGGAGCAGAAGGCTGCCTCGGCCGACGAGGCGGTAGCTTGCCTTGACCGGCTCCGGGAGGATGCCAAGGCGCTGCAGGCCAAGGCTGATGAGGCCGGCGCGGCCAGGGACGATGCCCTGGTCAAGCTCGAAGAGAGCAGAAGGGAGCTTGAGGAGTCCCGTAGAGCGCTTGAGGCCGAGAAGCGCAGGAGCGAGGAGGCCACCAAGGCGAAAGCTGAGGCCGAAGCCGCCGTTGTGAGGGCTGCCGATGAGGCTGTTGAGAAGTTCTTGGCCGAAGGGTGGAAGGCCGATGAGAGGCTCCCCTGGTGTTACGAGGTGGTGGCCGCCAGGCTGGAGAATTGGGGGATGAACTCCCCTGCCGGCCGGGAGTATTTCAGCCAGGAGATGTCTGTTTACTACAACCTGGGGCAGGAGCGGATGCAAAGGCTCCTGTACCGGCGGCTATCCCGGGCGTTGAAGGCCATGAATTACACGGCCGGATGGGCTAGACGAAACCTGAAGCTCCCAAAGCTGATGAAGGATCCCGAAGGGCAGGCCGCGCTTCCGCTGTCGGAGCGGGAGTCCCCCATAGAAAGCTCCGGCCTCGGCGAGCCGGACTATACCGAGTTCGATTTCTTGGATGATGCCACCAGCGCCGCTGCCGGCCAGGAAGCTGAGGCCGATGAGGAGGGGGCCAACGAGATTGAAGAGCCAGCCCCGGAGGCTTGATCGGCTAGTCCCTATTGTAGTTAGCTTTTCATTTTTTTGCCCAATTATGTAATGGCCGTAGTGCCCTCCAATTGTAATGAATTTTATCAATCGAGGAAATTTTTGCTGTCCTGTTCGGCCTTGAATCCTTTGTGTGCTTGTTTGCTGTGTCATTTCAATTCTGTAAATTGTCTAAGTATCAAGTCATAACTTGGGTCACCCGCGAGTGTCCGCTACGTCCGTGAGGTTGGCCTTCCCGTCCAGTAGTCTGGTCGGCCTATGCCTTTTTGATTTACTGTCATAACACTTGGGTGAGTGATCACCTGGCGGCTGATGCCGGGCATATCGTCCGGGCCCCACGCGAAGACAACGGCGTATGACCGTAGGACGAGGAGGATGGCGTCTCGCTGGTCCTGGGGGAGTTGCTTTCCGACCCTGAGAACCCGCTCCGGCCGGGAGGTATCCAGAGGGATTTCCTCGACCTCCTCGGCTGGCTCCGCATGTGGCCTCTCCTCGTCCATGGCGGCGGCGGCCGTGATGGTATCTATCCGCTGTCCCTCCCTTTCGGCCGGCCTCGTCAGCTTGAGGTAGCAAGCTCTGGCTATCCTCTGATTTCCTCTGGTGTGGCCGATGCCGTCGCTGGTGGGGAACTTCAAGCATAGGTGCTTCATGGAGATGATGGCCTCCAAGTCCTCCAGCGCTGGCCGGCCCAAGATCAAGTTGTGGGCGCACTGGAGGTTGACCACCATGAACTCCATGTCAATTTTGGCATGGTGGGGGCCGTCACCGACTTCCACGGGGAGGACTATCGTGCCCTCGGCGTCGATAGAGTCCCCGGTGAAGCCGGATAACGGGGTCTTGATCGGCTTCAGCAGAGCTCTGTCCAGCTTCAGCTGCTTGAAGGTGTCTAGGTACATCACGTTGACGGAGCTCCCCGTATCGATGTAAGTGCGGTGGATGATGGAGTCACCGATCTCACATCGGATGACGAGAGCGTCCCTGTGTGACTCCGTACCCGGAGGCAGATCCTTGTTGGTGAAGGTGATCGCCTCCGTTCGCTGCTTCTTCGGCTGGGGGGGAACGTGGGACACCTCTCCAATGTAAAGGGATTGGGCCCATTTCTTCCTCTGAGTGGCGGAGTCCCCCCCAGTGTTCCCGCCCACGATGAGGTGGATGTGATTCTTCTTCGGCGGAGGCTCCTCGAAGTCCTCGTCGTCGCTGAGTCTACCAATCTCGCGCTTCTTCGCAGAGGGTTCGTCTCCACGTTTGCCGGTGTTTACCCAAGTGTTTTTACGTGGGCCACCTTTGACAAACTGGGAGAGTTCCCCCTGGCGAATAAGACGCTCGATGGCCTTCTTTAATGTGATGCAATCGTCGGTGTTGTGCGACGAGTTCTTGTGGAACCGGCAATACGTGCCGCCCTGTTGGATGGCCAGGACCTCCTCGGCCGGCCGAGGAGCCTGCTCGATGAGGCCGTGCTTCTCGGCATAATCGAGGATGGTGCCGACCGGGTGGGTGAGGGCTACCCCCGGCCGTTCCATCCTCGGCCGCCAGTGGCGGTCTTTCTTACTTTGTCCACCAGAGCCGTGGCGGCCCTGGGCACCCTGGCCGGCCGGGGACGGACCCGAGGCCGGCGAAGGATTTGTCTTCTTGGGGGGATGGCCCCCCTCTCTCTTGTGATTGTGGAGCTCGTCGGCGTCGGCATACAAGCCTCCGCGTTGGAGCGCTTTGGCGTACGACCTCGGGGGGTCAGTGATGAGGCTCCTGGCGTACGGGGAGCTGCGGAGGGCTCCCTGGTACAAGGCGAGGAGGGTGCGCTCATCGGCCCCCTCGACCTCCTCGGTCTCCCTCGTCCACCGGTCGATGAATGACCGGAGGGACTCCTCGTGCTGCTGTTTGACGGAGAGGAGGTGGGTGAAATACTTCTTGGCGCGCTTCCTCCCGGCAAAGTGAGTGAGGAAGCGCTGGGCGAGATCTTGCCATGAGTCAACGCTTCCCTCTGGCAGCCCGTTGAACCACTCGTACGCTGGCCCCTCGAGAGTAGAGAGGAACCAACGGCAGAGGTATTCGTCGGACGCGTTCACCATCAGCATGTTGTTTTGATAACGGCTGAAGTGCTCCTGGGGGTCTGATCGGCCATCGTAGGACTTGATGGCGTTCCCCCTGTACTTCTCAGGGATGGGGGCCGAGAGGACCCTGTTGGTGAAAGGGGTCCTGGTCCTGACCTGGATGATGGGGTCACCCCGCCCTTCGGCCAGCTCCCTCTCCAGGGCGCTGACTTTGTTCATGAGCGCGTTGAGGCCGGAGTCGTTGGAGGCGCCGGCCGTAGGGACGTTGGCCGACTGCTTGGCCTCCATCTGAGCCAACCTCCTTTCCAGCTGGGCGATGACCTCGTCCCGGGGGTCCCTGTCGGCCGCGACGGCACCCGGCTGGTTCCTCCGGCGCTCGTTGTGAGCCGCGTTGATCTGGTGACGCACGTCATCCTCGTGCAACTTCCCCTTGCCCTTGTCCGGGCGGGGCTGGTCCGCTGTCCGGGACACAGACCCCAAACTCTCCCTTGGCGAGCCAGGACGAGAATCACCAATCCGTCCCGCCATCCTCTCCGAAACCGGACGACGGCGCGTGTCACCTAGCCTATTGAAGGCAGAGGCTTTTCCACGCGCTGGGGTCTGCCCGGGCCGAAGAGGGGAAGCAGGGTGAGAGTGGGACGACGCCGTGTCCTGGGCCACAACCCCCTCATTGTTGCCTATCTGGTTGGCCAGGGGTTGGGGATGAGGAGGTGGAGTGACGTTTCCCCCGGTCCTTGGCAAGAGTGCGCTGAGGACGGTGGGATTCTGAGCCAAGCTGGCGATGATAGCCGATAGTGCGGCCTGGACCTGAGGATCTACGGACGGAGAGGCCGCGGCCATAGGCTGGGGCAGGGCGTGGTCCGCTTTCTCAGCTCGTTTCTTTTCCAGGCCGAGGCGGGCGTCGGGGACTCCGCCGTTGAGTTGGTTGCGGAGGTCCGTCGTGAGGTTGAAGTCTTCCTGGAAGAGGTCCCCTCCGCCGACCTGGTCGGCCGTGGCGTCCTCATCGTGCTCCCTGGGCTCTTGGTCCTCAGGGATGGCTTTGCTGACGAGGTTGCGGTTTGACTTAGTTCTCCCCATGATCAGTGGTTAGCTGTGCTTGGTAGCGACGAAGGGTGCTAACTTGATTGTTCTAGCTCTCATCGAGAGCACCAAATGATAGAGTATATCTAGAGAGAAGTGAGAGCTAGAGAGAGAAGTGCAATAATATGCTTCAATAGAATGAATTTGCCACCCCTATAACTACTCCCAAGGGGAGTATTTATAGAGAAAATTAGGGTTGGGCTCCCAAGCCTTGGGCTTGGGAGGCCCATTTACAACTGGACCGCTACTGGGCCGAATACAAAGCCACTAATGGGCTGTACAAGTGAGTAAGTGTAGGATCCGATTCTGGGAGGTCCTCGTGGCCGACGAGGTCGTGGCCGACGAGGGCACGGCCGACGAGGGCACGGCCGACGGGGGCACCCGGGTTCCTTGGACTCGGGATCATAATCCGGGTTGGCTTCCTCTCGGCCGACGGGGGCGTCTTGGCCGACGAGGGCGCCACTCTGTCTTGTGCTCTGTTCTTCCGAGTATGTGGGTCCTGGGGCTCAGACCCATATACTCCATCAGGTAGATAGTTTAGCTTTGTAGAAGTTAGAAAAAATTCTACATTTTAAAATAGGATCTTCATTTTATTTCCTAAATAGGATTTGGGGTTATGACTGCTATTCAACTTTGTTCTGCACATTCGTTTTCTTTTCCCTTGATTCCATGCACTATACGTATTCGTAGTACATTTAGATGTTGACTTATCTTGTTCAATTCAAGCACATAATTAGTTTTGGGCTTTGCTTATTTGATGGAGAAATGGTGCTAAATAGAAGCTTAAGTTTCCGTATGTAATTAAATAAGAGGTTGACTTTTTTAATTTCTAAATGGGACTATTTTTAGTTTTATTCCTTTTTTGTCTATGTTTTAATTAATTGAAGTACATACTCCGTATGTTTTAGAGGAGCCGTAGACTTTTTCCTTTTTTTTCAACACCTTTTTCTGGGCATCAGCGATGTCGTTGCCCCCGCAATCCTCGACGTCGGAGACGTCGAGTTCAAAGCCAACACAAACATTACCACCGGCCCATCCTTCGACGAATTCTCTGTCTTCGTAGAAAAGTATTCCGGAAAAGGATGTGCGATTCAGTTTATGAATTCGGCTAGGGTTTTAGAGAAGCAGCTGTTTGACGTACTCGCACTGGCAGGGCGATAATCGAATGGAACAGGATGGGAAATTGATGGACTCTGGAAACATATTATTCGCTAATTACGAGCCTAATACTGGGAATTGCAAGGTGAAGTAAAGCTATAACACATTGTGATGGAGTTGTACATGTGAGGGCGGAAACCTGTTTGACCTGATCATGGCGAGGGGACACTACATCCAGAGGGCAGTAGCTGCTGGGATTATGAAGACCAGCAATCCGAGTACAATTTCTTTCTTTTCTTTTCTTCCCTTAATTCATTACGTTGTCCAGATAAGAGGACTAGAATCATAAGCCTCTGTTGTATTCTTATGTATTTATTACTTGTGCAATGTGGGATGCCTTAGCAACTTTACAGAGAGTTATCTAATAATAGATGTTTGTGATATTGCATTGCATATGTGCCACGCAGGGAGTGATGCACCGTGATTTCAAACCTGAAAACTTCCTTTATCCAAAGAAACAGCTATGTTGAAGACAATTGAGAAACGTCATTAATGGAGAAAAGAAGAGAAGAGTACCTTGGTTGATGATGAAAAGGGAGAGAGGGGTGTGTTCGTCGGACGCTGGGTCGCCGGTGGTCGTCGGCCGGTCGCGGTGGGTAGCAGCCTAGCGCCCTAGCAGGTGGAGGGAGGGTTCACACTTCACAACTCGCAAGTCTTCGTCGCAATAGGAATTGCCGTGCTTTGTTCCGTGGTCGTGCTTCGAGCGTCAAAACAAAAGAGGGGGGCTGGGTATGTTTTTATTTTGTTTTGGGCCTGTGTTCCAGCGAGTTGCATCCACTTTCTTATACATGCACGGCCGTGCCTAAGGGCCTCGCACGACCATGCCTTCCCTAAAAACAGTAGAAACGTGGAAAACAAAAAAATAGCCCAAGGGGATTCGAACCGAGTACCTCGCGCATTATAGAAGCTTTCAACCGCATGTGAGCTCCCATTCCTCGGCTCTGTTCTTTTAGTTCTAAGGTCATTTTTTGTGTAAATATACATTCAATAATTAATTTTATATAATATATATATATAATATATAGGTACTTTTTCGAGGTGGGACCCTTAGTGGGTCCGCCTCTGAGTATATCATTTCTTTAGAATAGATAAAACTCGAATATAACTCAAACTCGGACTCAACTCGAACCAAGTCATAAGTTTTTGTTATTCGACCTCGACTCACTGATTCGGAGTCCTAACTACACATTTTGCTTTTTATTTCAAATTACCTTGATAAAAGAAAATTATACAGAGTAGCACAATACGGTTATCACGTCTTTCATTTTAAAAGAGGAGTCATTCACTCTATTTATGAAAACTTTGTTGTTCTATTTTTTTAATAAGATCAAATAAGTGATATTTTGAGAATATAACATTTTACTCTCAGTTTTTATGTTTACTCCTTATTCACACAAGTAATGGTTTTTAATGGCTGGAATATATTGTTCTTTTAACTGAATAAATTTCATTTTTAGACTATAGTTGAACAGATCAAACTAAAACAAATTCAAATTATAGTCAAATACACATAAAGAGACATTTATCAGACCAGATTAATTTCAAATGAATCAAACTAGATCAGTCTAACTAAAAATTGCATTCCAATTAAAAACATTGTATGTGATACTCCATACAAAAAACAAAGCACAAAAGTAAGCTTCTCTTGTGGCTACTGCAAAAGTTGTACTCCTCGTCAATAGTAGAGCAAATGGTACAGAGCAATAAAACCGCAGCAACGTACATTGGTTAGGAAAAGTAATTGATAATTGGTAGAATGATTTATTTTAATTTGAATATTTGCACTTTTGATTATTGACTATTAATTTGAATGATTTTACTTGAAGGCCTACATAAATTTTCCTACTTACAGAAAAGCTGGCTGCCACACAGATAAAACTGATTCAAGGATACTAATTAAGGGGGTGTTTGGAACTGATTCTGCTTCTGCTTCTTTTTTAAAGCAAAAGCAGAGTCAGAATCAGTTTTCAGAAGCTGGTACCCCCCAGCTTCTAAAAAAACTGATTCTAGGAGTAAATTAGAGCACCAGAATCACTTCTGCATTTTCACCCGAACACTCCAACTTCTGCTTCTGCTCCCTGAAGGAGCAAAATCGGTTTTAAGAATCAGATCCAAACACCCCCTAAAGCTTAAAGGGTTAAGTATTAATAACCTCATAATTAGTTATGTGCAGAAAAACAAAGATCCAAAAGAAGCAAAGTTTAAATCCACAACTCCCAAAAAGGCTGGGAAGCTATAATATGGATCATCAGTTGGAATAGGTTCACACACTCCCGTCTTATTGCAGACCAGGAGTTTGGGTATGAATCTCCTCCGCCTCCACGAATCAGTAACTAAATAGTTGAGGGTAGGCATGGTCCCCAAAATGATTTCACTTCCACAAAGTGCATTCGTGATTACAAGTTCCCGTCTCATCTTCAGCTCCAAACTCTCCGCTGTCCAAACAATTGCAGCCTCACCCCCACCATCATATATCCAAAACTCCAAACATAGCTCCCCGTGTAATTTGGATAGCTGTACGATTCCCAACTTCCCGTAGTATTCGGTAATCCTACCGCACCATTTGAGCTGTTGAACCTCCTGTGGAACTGGAATAGTCCCAAACCTTTCCTCGTTCAGATCCAAATAACAAATTCTGAGGGGTTTTGTCGCTATCCAATACAACCGCCCTTCAATATGAATCAGGATGTCTGATTCTAGTTTGTCTACATTCCAATTCCCTCGAATTGAAGGCAGCAGTCCTTTACTGGGGACAGTCCTCCAAGAATTCTTTCTTCTCATTCCCGCTTGCAATGTGAGAATCCTGCATTGTGCACTATCAAAATAAACAACCTTATACTTATTAGCAATGTGATCAAACCCCAAACTCAGCATGGATCTTCTTTGATATCGAAGACGAGGGAGGGTTATCGTCTCATGTGTGGTGAGGTTCAGCACAAATGCTTGGTTCTCAGTCGCGCTGTAGAAACATATAAGGCCGCGGAAAATGTTTGAGAAAACATTGTCCTTGCTCCGAAGATAGATTTTCGTTGAAACAACATCTCCTCCCATGTTCATGATGAAGAGATGAGGACAGTGATCAAGGTCATAAATTAAGATCAAGCGTCTCCCATTGGCCTCGGCAAGAGAATGTGAGTTGTATAGCCGGGTGAAATCAGGACCGGTGATCAGATCGTACCAAACTTTGGAAATGCTCTTCAACCGCAGCAAATCTTTTACAGGAAGCTTGAGGAGGACGTTTTGGATGATGACATGTTCGGGAATTTCCGGATTTGTGAGAGCTCCTTTGGTCAGGATGTGTGTTGAAATTTGATGATTTGAAAGCTTTTCCATTGCCACCAGTTTTCCTCAATTCAAAACCCTAAATAAAGTACTACTCTCTGTCAGAAATACATGGGATTTAAAACTTCAAATCGCTTCATATGAATGACAAAGTCATACAGACGATAAGGAAAAAGTTTGAGTCTTACCAGAACAAAGAGAGCGAAAAATTAGAGGAAGTGCTTACCTTCGTCTCGCGCTGGATGTTATACTGATCTTCGTGGTGTGATTTTAGGATTCGGTTTGCGCAGCAAAGGTTTCAGGGAAAATCATTTCAGACTTTAAAAGGAAAGCTCCGATCCCTTTTACTTACTACTAAAAGTCGAATAATAATGATAATTATTACTAGGCGTGAGACTAATACAATTTCATTCTTGGGGATCACGTATAGGCTATGTAGCACCGATACCCGTAAGCGGAAACGCGGACACGGGTACGGGAATACGGCAAAACAAATAAAAGTAGGATACTGATACGGAGATATATTTATAAATATTAAAAGTTATGGGGGTGTATTTACAAATATTAAAAGTTACAGGGGTGTATTTATAAATATTAAGAATAGATTTTTTTTGGGAAATATATACATATAATATCCTACGAAATATAGAAAAAATAATAATTTTTTTGGATATATATATCCTATATATACATATATACCCATTCATTACCAAGTAAAATGTAGTTTTAGATTTTCATTTTTTTAGAATTTTATTAAGTAAATTTTGGGTTTTTTTTTATTCAAAAAAGTTGATACGGATATCCGTCAGGATACGAGTATCGGAAACTTTCAAACAATTACAAAAAAAATGGAAACTTTTAAAAATTACAGATACGGCTCGGGAACGTACGGTACGGGTATCTTAGAGTATCGGATACGGGAACGTATCCGATACGCCCATACGCTACCCTAGGGAAGTATCCGTACTTCATAGCGTATAGGCAAACAGACACCCACCCATCGACATAATTGGGGAGGGTTAAGATTGAACTCGAATAATAAAATAAAAATTTTCTAAATAGGACTAAAAATCTAAAATAATGATAAAGTTCAAATTAACATAGAATTGTCATTTTGTTATTTTCAAAACAGACTTATTCATTTCTATTCTTTTACTACCTCCTACCCGTTGGAATGTTCACATAGGAAAACGACACGGTTATTTAAGCAATAATTAAATAAACATTTCGCGTATATTTTGAAAAATAATTTTAATAGGTATATATTATAATGTAGTTAGTATTATTTTTAATATTTAATGATTAATTTGTCACTTAAGATTGTTAATTGTTTCCAAAAATGGAAATGGGAACTTTCTTACGGGATGTCCAAAAAAGGAAAGCGGGAACCTTCTAATGGGACGGAGGGAGTAATAGAATTCAACAAGTCTCTTCGAGGTATAAAACATATTTAGTCCTATTTTTGAAAATAATTATAGAAATAGACATACTATTTCTATCCATGAACTAAAAAAAATTCAATTCGCACCCTGAACCGACGAAAAAAGAAATTTGACCCATTTTTTGTCGGTTGGGAGGCGAATTAAACCTGTTTTTAGTTCAGGGACCGAGTTGAGCTTACACGACAAGTACAAGGGCCTATTTGAGCTTTTAGCCTTTTATATATACTAGTTGATAGAGGATTAACTCTTAGAGAGAAGCGCAATAAATATGCAATAAATGTATTTGCTAACCCTTTGCAACTACCCCCAATAGGAGTATTTATAGGGAAAATATGGGCTGGCCTCCCAAACCTTGGGCTTGGGAGGCCCATTTACAATATTAGGCCTCTAATGGGCTGGATACAAGAATTTGACTAAGTAATGAAACTGTTGTTGGTCCCGGTTATACTGGATACAGTCTAGAGGGGGGGGTGAATAGACTGTATTGGTTTTTGGCTTTTTAAAACTAAGTACCAGTTTTTCAGAATAGCCTGTTCTGTTGAGAGAACAGACTGGCAGCGGATGGGGTTCTGGCAGGGAGTTCTGTTAGCCTCAGAGAAGCAAAGGCAGAAGGCCTTCTGTTAACTCGTAGAACGAGTTCTGCTGAACACAGATACCAAGTTCAGGGAGTTAAACGGTTCTAACTAAATGCAAGTATTAAAAGCAGTAAGTAAACGACACCAGTGATTTTTATAGTGGTTCAAGGAACGACTCGTTCCTCTAATCCACTGTTCCACTAAGCTGTAAAAACTGCCGTTTACAAAGCCTTAGTCCTAGCACTTAAGAAGCACTCCACGTCTTCTTCAAGCCTAGATGTGTCCTGGGATGCACTGCCTGGCTTCCTTTAACACTGGTCCTTTCACTGAGTCTCCTTGAAGTATCACCACTTCACTACTCCAGTTATTCGGACGTCCTTCTTGTAGCAAGAAGAGTTTCTGTTGAAACAGAGGTTCCTCCAACTAGCTTCGTTACAAAATGTATGTATGTGAAGAGCTTGAAGAGTTGAAGAACACTTGGAACTTTGCTTGAGTTGGAAAGAGTATTTTTCCAACTTCTGCCTTCTCTTGTAGAGGATAATAAGTTTGAATCTCAAGGAGGCTTTTGCTTTTCAGAGTTTGAATATCTTGCTTGGTTAGCAATGTGATAGCAAAGTTATAGCAGAGTTATCCGGTTGTTCTTCGTAGTGTATCTTTTATACTGAGGTTGTCTTCCCGTTGGAGGAGTAGAAGGACAACTGCATTTAATGCGCGAGCAGTTGACTTGACCAGTAGGACCCGGTAAAGTTGGCGGGTTACTATTTTGGGATAAAGTAATCCTGACATTGCGGCCAATTATCTGCAATTACTCCACGGAGCATGGGGAGCATTAAATGAGCATTTAATGCGAGCACTGTAGCTTTTCCGTTTCATACTCCTAGCCGTTTGAAGGAATCTTTATGTTGACTTCCCGGCTTTGTGGATTTCTTCCAAGTGTCAGACCTTCTGGTGTTACTAACAGAGAACAGAACCAGAGAAGATCATGAGCACTTCTGTTGTTGGTAGCTTACAGAGAACCAGGAGGGTTTCTGTCACGTTAAAGGGTAACAGAGACCCTGACGTTTTCTGTTCCTAGACAGAGAACCAAGATCTTCTGTCTGGAGGACTTCTGGTAGAGAGGCCTTCTGGTAGTCGAATATGCTAAGAATTTTACAAGGGAAAATTCTAATACATAATATCTAAAGGGGTACTCTACAGTCCTAATTAATATAGCATCATCAAAATCTAAATACAATTATTCCTTACAATTTCCCCCTTTTTGATGATGCCAAAACCCTTTAACTTTTTCCAGAGAAGTGCCTTCACCACAAAAATTTAAAGTTTAAAACTTTTCATTTAAAATCTTGGTGGGCAACTTGGCATAGGAAAATAGTAAGAGTACGATACATTCAGATAGCAGATAAAATATCTCAAAGCAATCAAACAAACAAACACAAACAGAAAGTAAGTAAAAAAACAGAGATTGGGGAATTGCCTTACAACGTGTGAGGCAGAGATGTTCTTTTATTAAGGTGGTTTACAAGATTGTCTGATTACATAATAGCCTTGGCTGCTTCAGCTCTTGCTTGTTCATCCAGTCCTTGTAGTCTCTTTAATTCAGCATTCACCTCTTTTCTGATTCCAGCCAGATTTCCAGTTCTCTGGTAGGAGGCCCAGACAGGTGAGAGTTTGCAGTCTAAGTAGTTAAGAACACCTTCATGGATATCTTTTCCTGGTACTATACTGTTTTGAAACCAGAATTCTGCTTCCTCCAGAGATCCACCATATCTGACCTTCACTTGACCATCATGGTCCAAGTAGAGATTCTGTTGTTGAGTAGAGGTCATCTTCTGCTTCATTTCATCAAATTGTGTAGTAGTCATCACCTGAGAACCTCTCATTCTCCATTCTTTAAAACTTAGAGCTTTCTTTTTCTTGGATCCTTTCTTCAGTGGGGATGGAGGTCTAGGAATACAAGCTAGCCTTTTCTTCTGAAGAGCAGCCTCAAAGTAAGGTGTTGGATCCACACTTGGTTCAGCAGATGTTGAGGTTCTGGAGGTTTTGGGTTTTGATAGATGAGGGCCTTCTTCCCCCTTTTTGGCATCATCTAGATCACCAAGCAAAAGGGAGAGCTTCTGGAATTCTGAGGCCTGAGTAGAGGCAATCTGTTCCAGGGTTTCTGGTAAGGTCTGAGTCACAGATGTGAGACCTTCAATAAGCCCATGTTGCTTCTGAAGTGCAGATAGGATATCTTTATTACTGGCTTCTAAGAGAACCATCTTCTGGTATCTCTCTTTGTCTTGGGCAAATAGAGTCCTGGCTTGATCACGATGGACTTTGCACAGTTCCTCTATGTCCAGTAGTTGTTCCTTTGTCTTGCTATCAGCCCATTGAAGTTCCTCAATATTGGAAGAGATTGTTTCAATAGCTTGTCCCTGAGCTATCAGAGTCTGATGAAATGTGAAGAGGGTCTTATGGATACCTTCCACTTCCCTTGACAGTGTATCTGTTTTAGCAGTTGAGGAGGCCATGAAGTCGTTGAGAGATGTTGTCAGATTCTCATAGCGGTCTGAGATAAACTGCATCCCAGAGTTGAGATTATCATCCACATGAGCAAGGTGCCCATAATGCTTGTCATTGATCTGTATCAACTTATTCATGCCATGGAGGAGTTGGCCACCAAAGTCTTCAGCTGCTTCAACGAATTTGTTGAAGGGAATTTGGTTCTCTTGTTCAACAGATGGAGGCATCTCTAGACCTCTTGACTTAGGCACAGGAGGCCTTCTGGGTTGTTTTTCACTCTGAGGAGGTGTCTTCTTCCTCTTGGAAGTTTCATCAGCAGCAATGGAGGATGTAAGAAATCCATCATTGTCACTGGAAGAGGAGGGCACCCTGAAGATAGGTTTTCTGATGGGGGTGGAGGCCACAGAATGTTGAGGGGAGATAGGTGTGGCTGCATCTTGTGGTGTATGCTGAGGAGAGGCAGTTTTGGATTTGTTGATGGAGGGGTTTTCTTGTTGTGAGGGAGCATTCTGTTGTTGTGGAGGAGAGGGTGGAGGTGATGGTGATCTGGATCGGATTGAGGGTTGGGATTTGCAGAGAGATGGATTTTTGGTTTTTGGTGAGGAGGTTTTCTGTTGGGGTGAAGTTGTAGAGGAGAAGATTTGTTGGTGTTGATAAGGGATAATTTGTCCTTGAGGGGATGGGGATTTGGATTTTGAGGTTTTCTGGGGTGTAGGGGTTTTCTGTGGAGAGGAGGGTTTCTGAGGAGTTGAGGAGGTGTTCTGTTTAGTGATGGTTTTCTGTGAGGGTGAGAGGGATTTCTGTTGAAATTGGGGTGAAGTGACTTTAGGAGAGGGAGGGGGAGAAGGAATGATTGTGGGAATTACCTCTAGAACAGTTTCAGTGAACAGAGAGTCTCTCCATTCTTTGATAAGTA